TTGCCGACGCAGCAAGCCCCGCAACCGCAATCCCTACGGCGAGTTACGCCCGATGCCTATCCCACGGGAACCCGGGCTCTCCATTGCCATGGACGTCACCAGTCCGTTCCCTCGCGACCGGCTCGGGCACGACGGCATCCTCACGGTTGTGGACCGATTGAGTAAGTACGCGCGTTTTCTTCCTTGCAAGTACTACTCCACGGCTCCCGAGTTGGCACGCCTCCTGCACACTGGTTGGATTTGTGGCCACGGTGTACCAGAAAACATAGTCAGCGACCGCGACACCCGCTTCATGCCGGCATTTTGGACTGCTCTCATGCAGCAATCCAGCAGGAAGATGAAACCAAGTTCGGCTCGGCATCCACAGACGGACGGGCAAACGGAGCGGGCACATCAAACCACTCAGATGATGCTTCGTACGCTCATCCGTCCGGACCAGAAAGATTGGGTTGACCGCCTCCCCAACATCGAGTTCGCCTACAACACTTCGGTACATTCGGCGATCGGCGTACTCCATTCGAGTTGCACCACGGTAAACGGAAAGGCCGGATCTTCGCCGACCTTCCCTCCCTCGACCAGCCGACATTGACGCTGCCTGCTCTCCCGCTTCCGTCCGGAAGTACAGGGAATTGTTGACTCAAGCTCGCACGAACATGCCAAAGGCTCAAGTCCTCATGCAGCAGCAAGCCAACAGGCGTTGCGTACCATGTCCCATTTGCACTGATGATCTGGTTTGGGTCTCCGCGGAAGAGTTTGCACTGGAACATGATGTTTCACGCAAAATGTTTCACGCAAACTGTTTCCCAAGTGGTTTGGACCTTGGTCTGTGACAGCAGCCGCGGGTGATGAGCCCGATGGCCCTTCATTTGTGATCAATATTCCCGAGCATCTGACGGTCCATCCAGTCTTTCACGCCTCGAAGCTGGCAACATATACACCAGCTAAGAGCAACGACTTCCCGGGCAGACGATCGCAGGACCCTCCTTCTATGGATGGTTATTAGGAGGTTAACCGCATCATCTCGGATCGCAAGTATGGCAGCAAGCCGCGACAGTACAAAGTTACATTCAGAGCATGCGATCCTGACGACACTCGGTGGATTTCAGGAGCAGATTTGAAAGCATCTGCACCGCTGATCTACGCTCACTACGAGCGTCAAAGGTTAGCCAAGGGACCCCCACGACCTGCCCCTCCCACCCAGACTATGGTCCCTCCCTCAGACAGACAGCTTCGCCCTCGCAGGTAAGCTCGGTCTTTCAAGGAGGGGGGGGGGTGGCATACTGCGTAGCCACACGGGCCCTGCAGGGCCCGTCCCGCACTTTCAGCCTAAAAGCCTAAAACTTAGGGCTTACAGGCCCCCGTCGTTCAGCCTGAAAGCTGAAATACGAGGGTTTGCAGGCCCTACTCCGTTTCAGCCTATTTCTGGGCCTTTCAGACCCAGAGTTTTTCCAGCCTGAAACGGAGGGCCTTTTTCAGGCCCTCATTGTTTCGACCACCTCTAAGATTTAGAACAGGGTTTCGGAACAGGCCAGAAATAGCCTGTTCCTCACGAGCTTGAGCAGGAGCTGCAGCTGCAGCCCCTGCCTCCATTCGGCATTGGCAAGAGCAGCCTCCTGGACTGCTCGCACGAGTCAGGAGGCACACCCGGTAGTACATAGGAAGTTCCCATGCACTTCACGGGTAGGTAGTTGTCAGTAGGCACGAGTAGTCTTCAGGATTCGGCCGCAGCACTCAGGAGGAGCGCTGCAGTAGTCTTCGGCGCTGGGTGCCCATAGCCATAGCTGTAGTCTTCAGCGCTGGGCGCTATTAGGTGGTAGATCGTAGAGTTGGGAGAGATGGCTGGCAGAGGCCAGCGATACTTACCTGTCGCGCCATAGCTCCAGCTCCATCTTCGAGGTACCCGCATCAAGGCGCCAACTTCACAGGTTAGTACTGGACACACACACACACACACAGAGAGAGAGAGAGAGAGAGAGAGAGAGAGAGAGAGAGAGAGAGAGAGAGAGAGAGAGAGAG